CCATCATGACCTGGGGCCCACACCTTCCCACGTCCCACACACACTCTGCCTCTCTGTCCCCCTGACCCATACGCACCGGGGCAGCACTCACCTCAGAAACGAGGGTCAAACCCCCAGCAGCTGGTGCCCAGCAGAGGACAGGCACTAACCCTGAATTCCCGCCCTGCCCTACAGACCCAGACTTCCCAGGGGTCAGGCGGCCTGGTGGAGGCGGGACAGGGCCGCCAGGGGACCACAATGGCCGGTCCTGCAGTGTCAGCAGACCCAGTATCTTCACTGGCTGCAGGGGAGGGATGGAACAGAGGTCCAGGGGACACTTCTAGAGGGCTTTGGCGGCTGCAGTGATCACCTGAGGGTCGCACGATGACCACACCACCCACGGCTGTGGTTGCAACGCAGTGGCCATCGGGGGATGTGGTCAGGCAGGTGTGTCCTCCTCTCGGGACTCCAGAGAGCCCTTTGCTCAGGGGACAAGTGTAGGCGAGGTCACCTGGAGTGTCCCCCCCTGCCAGGGGCCTTGTCCGCCAGCCAAGCATGGTGTTGTCCCCTCGGGCCACTCTTTGTTCTGGGCTGGCCCTGTGTGACCTCTGGAGACCAGGGGATCCCTCTCAGTTCCCACTTGCTCTCCTGCCAGCTCCATGTCTCCCCACCAGAGGCGTGCTCACAGTGGGGTCACACAGGGCCACTGACCGGCCTGTCCCGGGTCACGTGCCTGCTGGCCCACTGTGTCCCATCCAACTTCCCTTTCTGTGGTGGACACCCTGGTCCTAGTCATTGGGGCTGCAGGACACTAATGGCCATGTGACGTCCGTGGTGCCCTCCTGCCTGCGACCTGCACCTCTGTAAGACCATCAGCCCCTCACCCATCTTCCTTTCCTTCTTCCCTCCCTCCCTTCCTTCCTGTCTGCTTCTTCTCTCCCTACCCCTCTTCCTTCCCTCCCTGTCCCTCAGCCAGGTGAGGACTGTGCACACCTGTGTGGTGACAGCATAAAGAGGGACCTGTCAGTGCACCTGGTGTCACCTGAGGTCTGTGCACATCTGTATGGTGACAGGACAGTGGGGTGAAAGGACCTGGTCAGTGCACCTGGGCCTGACCTGAGGACCATATGCACCTGTGTAGTGACAGGACAATGAGGTGAGGAGACCTGGTCAGTGCACCTGGTGTCACATGATGAGGACCATGCACAGCTGTGTAGTGATGGGACAGTGAGGGGACCTGGTCAGTACACCTGGGCATCACCTGAGGACCATGCACACCTGTGTGATGACCAGACAGTGAGGGAACCTGGTGAGTGCACCTGGGTGTCAACTGAGGACCGTGCACAGCTGTCTAGTGATAGGACAGTGGGGTGAGGAGACCTGGTCAGCCCACCTGGGAGTCACCTGAGGGCTGTGCACACCTGTGTTGTGACAGAACAGTGAGGGGATCTGATCATTGCACCTAGGTGTCACCTGAGGAGGATTGTGCACACCTGTGTGATGACCAGACAGTGAGGGGACTTGGTCAGTGCACCTGGATGTCACCTGAGGACTATGCACACCTGTGTGATGACCAGATAGGGAACCTGGTGAGTGCACCAGGATGTCACCTGAGGGCTGTGCACACCTGTGTACTGACAGGACAGTGAGGGGACCTGGCCAGTGCACCACCTGGGCATCACCACAGGACCGTGCACACCTGTGTAGTAACAGGACAGTGAGGTGAGGGGACCTGGTCAGTGCACATGGGTGCTACCTGAGGACTGTGCACACCTGTGTGATTAGAGGGGCTGCATGGCAGCCTGGGTGTCACCTGGTGAGGACTGCGCACACCTGTCAGGTGAGCCATCCCACCTGAGCAGAGCTGTCACTGTGTGTGAGCTGCAGCTTCCACAGGCGCCCAGCCCCGGGCGCGGGAGGGAGCAGAGCAGGCTGCGAGCTCACCACACCTAACCTGCCCCACCAGGTGAGTCAGTGGCACGCAGATGGCTGGCTGCAGGTGACTCTCTCAACCTGGCCTCTCTGTGGGTGTGTTTGTCCTGCTCCTCCTACCGGGCTGGCCCTGGCCCTGGGCCAACGCCAAGCACCAGAGAACCAAAGTCCACCTGGTCTTCCTGCCCCAGGACTCAGCTGCTGGGCTCTGTCCATCTGGAGCCTGCCCGTGTGGGTGACCCCATGCTGTGTGACATCTGGGGGTCCCAGCCCCTCAGCTCTGGACCAGCCAGTCCTCTCTCTTGCTGGGACCTTCCCCCAGGGTTACTCACCAGCCTCAGTGGACAGACAGGGTGGGGGGATGGGGTGCTGCACATGAGTTGCCCTGGCTGGGAATTGAACCCAGGTCTCCCGCAGGAAAGGCAAAGATCACACAAGCGCCCGTTTCCAAAGCTTTTCTGATGTCTTTCTCAAAAAACCAACAACTTTCTTTTTTCCCTGACCCTAACCTTGTTTCCATGCTCACCCCCAAGTGTGTCCCCTTGCTGAGCCCCCTGGGGCGTCCTGTCTAGTCACAGAGTGGACAGTGCAGGCCAGCTGTACACGCACCCCGCTCTTTGCAGCTGCCCCACCGGCTTTGACCCTGAGCTCGGTGTCCATTTAACCAGGCGCTGGAGAGACACGGATTTGATTTCCAGCCTTTAAATTGTGACACCATGTTGTTGCCTTTCTGTGACCAGCAGGAAAGTACGGGGTGTGGAATGACCCGCTCAGGACGTGAGTCCGAGGGGAGGCCAGAGGAACTCGGAAGCAAGTGCCCTCGACCTGTAGCCTTTAATAACAGGAGGCCCTGACCTGTGGCCCTCAGTGATGGGATCAGAGAAGTCCCACAAGTGGAAAAACCCGTTGGTGGGAGTCACAAAGAGAAAATGCTGTTGACGGTTCTTATCTTAGGTGCTGATAAGACCTCATTCACACCACAAGTGCTCTTGTATTTATTATGTGGATTTTCCCTCCACTCCACTTTCCTTCTTTGAAATGTGTCTGAGGATCTTTCCCATACATTGTGTGACAGGACACTGACCACACCTGGACTGGCCCCACCACTTTCCTGTCTTGTCAGGTTCACTCGATGGGGTCTTTCCTGTTTCCTTCTCTTCCTCCGTCCACCCACCCGTGAGGTGGGCACTGGGCAGGGTTCACAGCTATTATATATCGGGGCGCTATGAGTTGACTTAACAACAGCAAAACCAGAATAAAGTGGACAGAGATGGGCAATCTCTGCCCTGCAGTTTTCAGACCCGGTAATCGGTTCCATTTCGGCAATGCAGAACACACACACACCCTGGGGAGACACAGATGGTGCCCCAGCCGTCCCTGCAGCCTGCAGCATCACACACACCCTCCTCTCTCTGCACAGAGTGTTTGCTTTCCTGCCCCACCAGCCCCTGGAAACCCCCTCTCCCCCACAGGATGTGTGAGGGTTTTGCAATCACAACTCGTGAGCTCTTCTCCATGCCAGGAATGACACTGCTGTTTCCTGGAAAGAGGTTGAGGCGCGCTGTGGCTGAGTTCTGACATGAACCGTCCCCTCCCTCTGTGTCCGGCTTCCAGCCCACTGTCCCCTCCCCAGTTTCAGACCTCAATTGTCCTCAAGCTGTGCCAGGCTTCCCTCATGCAGTGTCCCCCCCCCCTCCCCGTGGCCGGCTTCCAGCCAGTAAAGCCCTGTCAGGACTCAGCTCTTATCTGGGCTTGCTGCTGATAAGAGAAAAAGTGTGCAGGTGGCCAGGGATGGGCAGAGAGAGGTGCAGGTCCCTGATAGGGAAGCTGCCCTCCAGCCCTGCAAGTCTCCCTCTGTTCCCGCTGTACCCCTCACAGCAGCTCAGGGTGCAGCCCCCACCTGGAGGGAGGTTCCCATCCGCAGATGCTGTTGGAGGGCAGCGGGGGACACTGGGCAGTGGGGCACTGAGTGGAGGTCCCCACCTGGGGCCACCGTAACATAAATCCATGTCACAGACCAGAAGGTGAAAACAGCAGGGCTCACTGTATCCCAGCACTGGAGGTCTGGGGGCTCTGGGGCCTGGTGGGTAAGGACATGAGGGGTCAACACTAAGACAGGACATTCAGATCCACCTCCTGCCCAGTGGGAGAAGGCCTGTCACCCCACCCTGCATGACGGACAGACTCTGGACACCCCCTGAGGGTCAGGCCAGCCCTGGCAACAGCAGCCTTGGAGACCCGTGATCTGAGGTCACGGTGCGTACACGGGCCCCTCCAGAGGCTCCGGGGGAAATGCTCTCTCGAGTGGATGCTGGACACACAGGATAAAGGGACAACTCGTGTCACAGCGTTCGTCCTCACAGTCCTCACAGGTTCTGGACACTCCCATGTCCTAGACCTTGTCCTTCAGCCGACAGTCCTACGGGTCTCCTGGATTAATATCCTCTTGGGTTGGTGAGGATGAGAAGAGATAGAAGCGGCCAGCCAGGGCCAGAAGGGCGACCGTCTTCAGACATGGGCAACGTCTGTCACATTCTAGAACGTTCCACACAGCCGACCATCACGTCTGCCACCTGGATGAATGCCCGTGTGTCTAGCTCGATGGGGCTGGAGAATTGTGGAAGGTCCCCAAGGTGAGAGGGGATGATGGTCATTGCACACGGCCTCCGTCTGGCATGTTTGGAAACTTTCCATATATCAGTCACATTGCAGGACTGAGAGGTGTGGAGGGGCCGATGGTGACACCTCATGACAGACTGTCCCGGACATCACCTCAAAAGGGATGACCGGTGAGAGCTGGGGTGGCTGCTGTCTGTCACCGATGGGGCCGTAAGACCCGAGGGACAAGGACACCCTGGCTTGGACACCCAAGTGTCCACTTGCCGCCTCTCGTGCTGTGGGCGTGTGGTCTTGGATGGGTCTCAGTGCCTCCGGGTCCCTGACCTGAGGGCTTGTACCCCCAACCTGTGGCCCACCCTGAGGTACTGACTGGCATGTAAAGCTTCAGGAGCCTGTGGGAACCGCCCAAGAAACACGTCTGTAGGCTGTCGAGAGCATTTATGAGCGAGTCGCTGTGGGCACCTTGCCGGCTCAGGCTTTCCTGACCGGGCTGGAGACAGGTTGTTACGACTCCTTCCTCTCAGGTGCCAGATAGCTCTTAAATGTCATCTGAGCTGTTGATGAACCACCACTGGGCTTCCCAAGGCTACGAGTCTGTGGCTGAGTCCTGCAGGCCGTGGGGAGAGAAGGTGAGGGACGGGCCGGTGTTGATCTCCATGGAGGATTCTGTATTGGGCAGTCTGTCTGTGGACCTGGAGCCCTTTGCAGGGACCAGCCCATGCGGGTTTGTGTGTGGCGTGGTGGTGGGGCCTTGGCTCTCTAGAGCTGCCCAGCAGAGATACCACCTGCCTCCGCCTTCACGGACAGTCACCCCCTCATTTCAGGAGGTTCAGGGTGCCAGCTACATTGAGGGGAAGGCCTTCTGTCTAGATTCAGGAGGGAGAAGCCTAATTCTGCTCTGTTGCTGCGATAACAGACACCACAAAGGGGTGGCTTTCAGAAACAGAAATTTCTTTCCTCACCATTTAGGAGGATAGAAGTTTAGCTTCAGGGTGTCAGCTCTAAAGGAAGGCTCTATCTCTGTCTTGGTGATGTAGGTAAGAGCCTTAGTTCTGCTCTGTTGCTGCTGTCACACAGCTGCCGCAATGGGGTGGCTTTCAGGAACAGAAATG